TCAGGAGTGGCTCGACTCAGGCGAGAAGCAGCAGCCTCCTCCCAGTCCCCTCCCGGCTGCCCCAAGCCGCTCAGGCCTCCCGCCGACAGGGCCCTCCGGTCCACCAGAGCCCAGCCAGGACAGGCCCCATCGGCCTGCTGAGGAAGCGAGGCCGCAGCCCGCTCCACGGCGGCCCAACACTCACCCTCGGCCAGCAGCGCGGTACACACAGAGATGAAAACGATGAGGAGAGTGTCAGCAAACATGGTGCTCATGATGACACCGCCACCCCCCTTCCCCAGTAACGCCACCGAGCTCCCGGAAATTGACCCCGCCACCCGGAAGCTACTGAGGCATGTCGCCCAGCAACGGGCGGAAGTTGGTGTTAGCGCTTCCGGGAGCCGCCGCCGGTTGGTCGACACCGCTTTGGGAGGGAAGCGCGAGGGACGGCGGAAGTGCCAGCAGACGCTGCAGGCTTATGGTGGTGGTGGTGGTGGGGCCCCGTGCCCCCGCTCGCCTCGATGGGGGCGGCCTCGTCCTGTCATGGGTTCGGGTGGGTGCCCCCGGCCACGGCGCTTCATGGGGAGCGGCGCCGGGACCAGACGCTGTCATCGCAGCCGAGGTAGCTGGTCTCCTGTCCCAGCACCCTCTGAGTCTAGGTGCCCAGGCCTAGCGCTGGGCCTGCAGTGGGGTTCCTGCTGCCAGCACAGCCCTCCCCTCCCCGTGTCTTGCCGGGCAGTGGTGCCCCATACGGGTCCTCCTGAGCTGCTCCAAGGCTGTTTCCAGGGTAAGATGTGTGAGGCACCTGTTTTTCATGAACACACTCCTCACAGTCACAAAGGGGTTAGCTTAGAGCAGCCTTTCCTGGTTTCTAAAGTTGCACCCTGGGTTAATTTGGCAATGGCATGAATATCCCATTAGCACACAGCAGCAGGAGGTGTTTTCTGGGATCAGATATTTACAAATAGGGTTACTGCCCTTTTCCAGGATTCGGTGCTGGCTCCTGCGCTCCAACAGTTAGCAACGGAGTACTGTGTTAATGATGCAAAGGGCTGGAATCAGGGAAGTAAATCTTGCATTGCTGTGCATGTGTAAAATATTCACAGATGGGATGAGACTAAGAAGAACAGTAACAAGGACAATTCAAAGGGCTGGAATCGGGGAAGTAAATCCTACCTTGCTGTGCATGTGTAAAATATTCACAGATGGGATGAGACTAAGAAGAACAGTAACAACGACAATTAAATAGTAGCACGGATTTAGCAAAGAGACTAATTGACTTTTGTCAAGGTTCTGGTGGTTGCACCTGGAGCAACAGAACTAGACCAAATCCACAAGTTGTAATGGATCAAGGAGACCTAGAAAGCAAAAATACAGAAAAGGAAAAAGTACAGACAGGGAAGGGCAGGTTTGTGCCTGTCCTTGTATAACAGAGAAGTTTGCTGTCAATGAAGAGTGATGCAGATAGGCAAAGCTGGGTGGAAAATAAGGAAGGTAAAAAGCCCTGCCATTGCCTTTAAATTAAACACTCCATTCAGAAAGAGGGTGACAAAACATAGTTCAGAGAAGGCAGCAGCAAGTAATAAGTGAGGATGTGAGATGAGATGGCAAACAAACCCTGGTGAGATTTGCATACAAGGAAACACAAAAGCCATGTGTGCAGGTGGTTGTGCAATGAGTCAGGCCATCACTGAAAGTGGCAGCTAAGCACCCTCTGTACCACAAGAAAATCCTGGCACTGCCTCTGGACCCTGGGGGTTTTCTTTAGCACTGGGGGAGAACTGAGAGCAGAACCTGGTCATACGCTACAGGAGTCCTGTGGGAGTGGGAGACATCAGGGACGAAATTAAGGATGGTTATCATAGAATCATCATAGAATGGTTTGGGTTGGAAGGGACCTTAAGATCATCTAGTTCCAACCACCCTGACATGGGCAGGGACACCTTTCACTAGACCAGGTTGCTCTAGGCTCTGTCCAACCTGGCCTTGAACACTTCCAGGAATGGGGCATCCACAGCTTCTCTGAGAAACCTGTGCCAGCGTCTCACCACCCTCATAGTCAAGAATTTCTTGCTAGTGTCTAGTCTATCAGCTAGAATGTCAGCTTAAAGACATTCCCGCTTTCCAGTTTCTATTTCATTTTAGTGCATGCAGCAGGAAGATATTAACAACTGATGATGTGGCAGGGCCCATGATAATGTTTTGTATCTTGCGGTGCACCACCTCATGCACTTGGCTGTGCTGTATGCCATTTTCTGTCCCCTCTCCCTTTCTTTAGAGCTTGCTGGCTTTCCTGTCTGTGAGATGTATCCATATAAAGGAAAGCAATATTTCACAGAATACTAGACTATGTCCCCCAAGAAAACTTTGGAAATATTTTCTCTTATACCGCTATGGCAAATGATTCACACAACAGTTATCGACACTGAACATGGTCTTTCACAGAACGCTTGTGTGGCAGAAACCAGGCTAGGAGGAGACGGTCAGTGACATGTATCTCTTTCCTCTCTAGTGTCTGTGCTTTGAACTGGAGGTAGAAGTGACATAGGCTCTTTGTGACTTCATCCTGTCATTTTGAATCACACCAGCTTCCTTTTCAGCTTTTTTTTTTTTCTTTTTTCTTTTGACAACAGAAGGCATAGTGCTCTCAATGGCATTTCCTTTTAAAAGAGCGTTCTGTGCTTTGGTCAATGTGTGACAGACAGATGAAGAGTTGGGTGCAGTTTGATTTGATTTAACAAGCCTGTGATGTGAGAAAAAGGAAAGCATGTGCACAACACATAGCTCTTGAGGTATGAGTTAGGGGACAGGGCAGTCTACAAACTTTCTAGATACAGAGGAGGTAGAATTTATTGAGGTAACCTCAAAACCAGACTAGAAAGAGTCATGTCCAAATAGATTTCATATACTGATATCTCCAGCCTATAACTAACAAAAGATTAAGTTGCTTTTTACAGTGCATTAGTGACTGGCAACTAGGAAGGAGAGTGTAAAATTCTCAGATAAGTTTTGAGGAAAGATGCCATCTAAAACTAGCTGGGACTTGGATTTGTTTCCCTTCCAGTTTACAGCCCTGGCCTGGTTTTGAAAGAGCCACTGATGTGATCTTTGCAAGTTCTCCTTGTGTTCTGTATAAATAAGCCTTGACTATACCCCTTCAGGGTCTGTCAAGAGGCATTACTTATCCTTCCCTATACAAGTATGTCCGCTCCTGCCAGGTGTTAAGGGTCTGGTTTAGAAGGGGAACCTGAAATAAAATGCCACGATGGCCATCCTACAAAGATGCTCAGCTCTGAGACTGGATGGACAGCACAGTCTGAAAAAGCTTCATCACAGCAGAGGTTTTGAACTTGTCTGCAAGCAGGGCAGCAGAGAGGTTGGCAGCAGCAAGCATAGGCATGAGAACCAAGTAACCTGGAGGTCACCATGCGCTGAAGGGGTTTTGCCATTCAGACATGGGTTTGTTGCTGTGGGGGTAAGAAAGAAGAGCTGTGAATAGCTTCTGTATGCAGTGGTGTGCACAGGAGCTGTGGCCACAGTCGGTGCTTGGAAACTGGCATGGGGTTGTGGGAATCCGCCGGAATTCATCCCTACAGGAAGTTCTTGTCCACATAAGGCACTTCCTCTCCTGGCACCAGCCACATGCAGTGCCATGCTCCTATGCCACAAACTGCAGTCCTCAGGGGTGCAGTTGGAGGGGAATTGGGAGCAGTGGTCAGAGAGGGGTCACACCTTCCCTAGAGATGCTCTCTCACATCCTGCATGATGAGGGCTAGGATGTGGCACTCTGACAAACATTTCCACACCTGTTTCACTGTATTAAAGTGGGAATTTAAAAACCTCACTGAAACCGATGATCCTATGAAGGGAGGAACCATAGGGTATTGCTTAGACCATCTCCTGCCCCAATGCAGGATCAACTCTGCTAAAAACTTTCTAATCAGAAAGTTTTCCTGGTGCCTCTCAGTGGAGTCCTCACTCTTCCTCAAAAACATATTCTAGGACTCAACCATTCTCACACTTAGAAAATGTCCCTGAATATCTATCCCGAATTGCCCTTGTTGCAATTTGAGCTGGCAACATTTTGTTCAAATCTCCATGAGTAACAGAAATTTATTCCTTTCCTGTATGTGGCAGCCTTTCATGTATTTGGAAACAGATGCCCTGTACCTGCAGCCCTCTCTTCCCCAGACTGGACACGCAAAGTTCCTGTGGTCCTTCTGCAAAGCCAGACCCCAAGCTGTTCCCAAGATCCTGCTGCAGTCTGTCATAAGGCCTCACCTTTCTCAAAACATAGTCCCTGCCTACATTTATATGTTCCTGTGGGATGTTTGCCATTTTCACTACAGCACAGCATTGACTCTTTGAGCCAGTGTACTCCCAGATCTTTATCTGTAAAAGGGCTGGCTAGCCAGCAGGTTCCCATCTTGTATTTTCAAGATGATTACTCCTACCTCAGTATGTCACACTTGCCCATATGGACTTGCACCCTTCATTTTGCTGAGCCTTTTTCCATTTCACCGAGAGCATTTGACTTTGAATCCTGGCCTCCAGAGCCCTGGCAGCTCCTCCCAGATGGGTCCCATTTGCCAAAACATAAGCGTAATTTTTATTCTTGGTTTGAGTCGTCAATAAGCACTCCTAAGTGTTCACGGGACCAGGGCCCATGGGAGGGGGTTGATGCCGGAGGGGGGATATGCCAGAGGGGGGACATATAATGGGCATGCTGCTTAGTACCACTTTGGTGTGGTCCCAGTGCTCACTGGAGGCAGATGGTGAGTGGGCAGCAGGACCCATCGGGTGGAGGGGCAAACCAAGCCGGCAGGGAGAGGGAACAAGGGCCAGTGCATCAGGCGGCCGCACCGCCTTTGTCCGGAGCGGAGGGCGGCGGCGAGGTGTGGGGCCATGTGGCCACCGAACTGTACTGTACTGTATTGTGTCGTACCGTGTCGTGTCGTGTCGTGTCCTACCGACAGCCAGCAGGCTGGGCCGGAGCATGTGCAGCTGCGGCAGGCACCTGGCAGGGCGCCGCAGCGCAGGGATGTGAACCAGGCGGGGAGGAAGGCCCTTGACTCATCAGATAAATCCAGCCCCGCACGGGGAGTGAAGGTGGAGGAGGTGGTGGCGCTGCTGCTACTGGCAGGGGAGGATGGCGGGGGACAGCGAGCAGAGGCTGGAGGAACACGGGCAGCCCAGCGGCGGCGAGCCCTTTCTCATTGGGGTCAGCGGTGGCACAGCCAGCGGCAAGGTGCGGGACTTCGCGGCGGGCTCCGGGGAGCCCCGGGGGGCAGGAGAGGGATCCCCGCGGCGCAGCCTCCCTCCGCCGGGCGCGGCGGCCACATGGCAGCCCGCCTGGTCCGAGCGGCCACTCCGCCACGTGCGCTGTCTTGGGACCTGCCGAGCCGTGCCGGGGGAGGTGGCAGGACTGGGAGGGCTCGCTGCTCCGGCGGTGCACGGTGCACGGTGCGGCCTGGGGAAGGAGGAGCCGGCGGAGGGAACAGGGCCTCCGAGGCCTCTGGCCGGGTGGTAGTGCGGTAGTCCCGGGTGCACGTGGAGGGGAGGCTGTGGGTGGTGGTGTTGGTGCAAACGTTGACCCCACCCGGCCGGGGACCCTGCTCCCGGGGGCTGCCGGAGTTCGGCGGGCAGGGCTGGGGGCTGCGCGGGAAGTGTGCAGCCTCGGCCCGGCCGGGATGGAGATGCCCCCCCGCAGAATCCCCCCGTCTGTGGCTTTAACCAGCGCCCCTCTCCGTCACCCCTTCACTCGGAGTGTCCCCGAGGGCCACTCGCCCCGCGGCTGACCCGCAGGGCCCGTTGGGTGCCATGCAGTCAATTCATTTATTTTTCTATGGTGTCGGTCGAGCATGGGGGTGCCCTTTTCTAGCTAATTTCGGGGTAGCAGGAGTGGAAAATCCGCAGTAAATGCTGACTCACAGCGGCAGAGCGACCTCCTGCCTGCGCCCAGGAGGGGATGGTCCTTGGCCGTGGCAGGTGGGAGCGGGGCGGTGGGGCCGGGGCGAGCCGCTTTGGCCGAGCTAATGCGGACTTTCTCGGGAGGGCTGCTGCATCCAGACTGCAGCGCTGGGCACCTCCAGCAGCGTCACGGTTTTTATTTCCTTTTTTTTTTTTTAATTCCTTTTTTCTGTTATTTCACACAGTGGGGTTTCCTTTATTTGTTTAACCTGAGGTAGGTTGCTTTCTGTCCTGATACGATTTCCCCTGCCTTATTTAGAGAGCAGTAAAACCAGACCCACAGGTAATCAGCCCCTGTGCAGGACAGCACAGATATTCTACCTGCATTTTTAAGAGGTATTTCAGAGAGCATGAATAAATTTGGAAGTAGCAATACCTTTGCAATATTTCTTGCTAAGGAAACTGAATGTTGAGCTGTCACAGGAGGAAGACAGCCTTATATCTGTGGGTTGAGTTGTATTTGGAGGGGGGGCCCTTTTTCTCTTGAAGGATGGCATAACCCAACAACTGTACCTCAGTCCATAATAACAGTGTTTTAGGAATCCATCTCTCAGTACCCAGTTTATTCTTGGACTGTTGTTGCTCTACTGCAAGGGAGAAAAATCCAGATATAACAGGAGGGATGGTGAGAGGATGCAATCTCCTCCACTGGGAACCAAAGCTGGATTGTTTCTGCACTACAGCTCCTGGTGATTTTAAACATGCTGGGTTTGTCTGTTCTCTGATGCGTGGGTCTGCCTCTCTGTAGCTGTCCCAATAACATCGTGTCTGGCGCTGCTGAACTGTTATGTCTCTGAGCGCTGTGTCTCTGGCCCACAAGGTAAAAGCAGTGATTACAGTACAATATGCCACAGTTATTTTCAACTTCAAAGTGCAAATACTTAGTAGCAGCAGGCTGCCTTAGTAAAAAAAAAAAAATATGCAAATGGTTCTTTCTAGCAAGGGTGATGTAGTAACTGGCTTTTCCTGTCTCTCAGCCTAGATTTGTGTGTGTCCCCCCCTCCAGTGACTGATGCCTGCTAAAACCTTTGTGCAGTGCTGCCAGTTGAAGGGGATCCAGCAGATCAGTACAAAATTTGTGGGAAAAGACAGAAAGAAATATGCTGGGGAAAAAAATTTGCTTGAGGAGAAGCAACAGAAAAAAAAGAACCTGCGGCTTATGCACAGAGACCCTCAAATTCACACTTGATGCAGCTGCAAGGCAAGGGTGCACTGAGGTTGTCCCACCATTGGCTAGTGACACTGCCATGTGCTGAGTGATGCCGGGTTCACAGCACACTCTGGGAAAGCAGTGGGGGGCTGGTGTGGTTTGCTCAGCTAAGGGCTTCTCTGCAGCTAAAATCTAGCCCAGGGCTGCCATGCCAGTATGCTGGCTCTGGATGAGAACAAAATGCTCCTAGAGGGAAAGAAAGCAGGCACCTTTCCACTAGAAAAGTGGCAAATCCATCCAACTCACCTTCACACCAATTGAGGGTTGTTATCATAACACACCCCTTTGGCAGCACACCAGACAGAGCATAACAGAGGGCATTTGCCTTCCGTGGTCCCCCCAGCACCTCCCACTGCTGCTTTTGAGTCTAAGGTGGGGAAGAGGCTCCATAGTCCTCCCCCATCCCTCTCAATGCACCAGCACAGTCAGGCTGTGGAAGGAAGGGATCCTGTTTGTATCTTGCCACAACTTGTGTTGTGTGGTGCTGTGGGGAAGCTGGCATCCAAAGTGGCCAGCATTCCCTGAAAAGCTGGGGGAAGTGTTTGGCTGGTATTTCTTAAAGGCAAATTGGTGAGAACTCAAATCCAAAGGCTAACTGCTGCTCCTGGGTGAGCAAAAGAGGCTTGAGCAACTTTTGGTACTCAAATGGGAGGTAGCCTAAGTGCTGTTCTGTTTTTTTTTTGGCTCTTAGAAGGAAGCTGGACTGTACTGGGAGCAAAACTGGGGAGCCACAGAGGTCCTGGGAAGGCTGTGATGCTGCAGCCTCTATGAGGGCAGTCTCAGCTGCATGGTGGCTGTTTTGTGTCTGCTCAGCTGGAACAGGCTCTTCACAAGACCTGCTGGGAGGCAGCATTTCTCCCACTGTCCGCTGAAATACAAGCACTGTGCAGCTCAGGCACTGTGCTGCGGTCTCCTAATGTGGAGGAGACGACATAGCATTAAGACCCCCTCCTGTGCCAAAGCTGGAGAGAACTGCAACTGCCTCATTTCCTTAGAGGGATTCCCAAGGTTGATGGTAGCATTTTCTTTCATCCTGCAAGCACTCTGCTAAAGTTCTTGTTTCCTTTTTATACCCTTGGTCTTTGTGCTAACACCTTCTTCCCTTCCTCCCGCAAGAGATTCCTGGCTACCAAAGACTGCAGCATGCAAGGCAGGCAGCCAGGCTGCAGGCTAGAGGAAAAGACAGCAAACTGAGATGTGTTGTAAAGAGCTGGGATACCTTCTTAGGTTCTTTACATGTCCTCACTTCAGCTTGCCTCCTGGGACCTTGCAGCTCTGCTGGCAGTGCTGGAGTGGCTGTGGAAACATATAGTGATGGGGTGGTTGTAGAGGTGCGGAGAGCTCTTCAAACTCTGGCTAACGCATTAATGGCTTGTCCCCATGTGCTGCAAAGCAGGGTGCCAATTGGTACTTTCCAACAGGAGTTTGTAAGAAAAGACAGATTTGCAAATGCTTTTGTTGGCTACCCAGCCCTCAAACTAGTGAGGGCTGAATATTGGTGCCACTGTGGCCCAGTGGCTGCATCATTTGGATCTTGTGTTAGAGCATAAAGTTGGAAATGCCTGCTGGAACATGCAGCCTGAGAGTTTTTTAGACTGCAGAGCACCGGAATTGCAGCATGTGTTCAGCCAGGTGTATTCTTCACTGTTAATCTGTTAGGCACTTTTGCTTGAAACACCTCAAATGCTGTCTGAGGCTGAGCTGGCTGCCTAGATGAATGAATTAGAAGGCTGATATCACCTAGCCAGGGGGGAACAGCCAAAGTGTTGGTCCCAAGGGAAGCAGTAGCTCCAGCTGCACTACATACAGCATGAGGCAGTTCCCTCTCCACATGGGGCTTCTTGCATGACAGAGCTCACTCCCTTATACTGGCAAGGGCTGAAGTTGCCCACAGAAGTCTGGGATCCCCTGCCACATTGTCATCACCTGGATGCCAGGCAAAGAAGCCTAAGGGAGACCCTGCAGTGACCCAGGGGGACCCATGGGAGGGGGACTAGCAGGGATTGCAGCAGTCCTGTGTCAGTTCAGCACCATTTCCTGGTGACGTTTGTTTTGTGGCTGGCAGGAGCCCCGCATCACAAGGTCTGACTTCTTAAACACTGGTGTCAATGTGTGCTAGAGACTTGTCAAACTTTCTAGTAGAACATTATTTTGTGCCAGCCCTTGATCAGATTTATACACAGGACATTTGATGGGTCAGCCCTTTCCTGTTAACGAATGAATATGTGTAAGTTTGTTATGGAGCAACTGCTTACCATAGTCCTGTGGACTAGGCCTGCTCAAGGCTTTGGAGTTTGCAGCAGAGGCTCTGGAAAAATACCCGTATCTCTAAATCCAGTGGATTGGGTGAGATTGTGTTAGGGCTTTTCTTTTTATTTCCCTGCGCATAATCTGTGTTCAGATCCTCAGTGTTTGTACTCCTGTTTATGCTCCAGCCCAGGAGTGCTGATCACATGCACAGTATCCCAGGGTGAGTGAACAGAAACCTTGCTATCCCAGTCCTAGACCGGCTAGCCTGTGGCTCACAAAGGGAAAGGCAAGACTGGTGAAGCTGCCTGGGAAAGCTCTGGGTGGAGGCCCAGGCTTTTGGTACAAGAATAGCAAGTTTCCAGTCCCAGTGCTGCCATGCGGATGTGCTCCATTAGGACTGGAAAGGACTGTGTGGGTCATGAACCAGCTCTCTACAGTTGCAAGCAGATATTTAATAGATGCTCTGTGACCCTTCCCAATTTGGTATCTCTTCTGTGTATCACCCCAGTCCACCAAGCACCTCCTAATACTCTACAATTAACATAACCTTACAAGAAGAGACCAAAATCCATAACTACTGTGCTGCAGAGAGAAGGGTAATGCTGGAGAGAAGGGCAGCATTACCATGGCTCCTGATTTCAGGGACCCAATTGAGTGAAAGTCCCCTGTGATGCCTGGAAAGGGAACTGTACTATAGGGGACCTCAGAGAAATGCAATGAGTAATCCCAGCGGCCCCTCATGTGATCTTAGGGAAAATCCTGTCAGATCCCCAGACTGGAGACTCTTATCCACAAGCATGTGATGAGGACATCTCAAC